GCCCACCTCCCCTCATTAATTCACTTACCTCGTTCACGCCTTGTACTATGGCACGCATGGTGGCGTTGCGCGGTCCGTCCACGGTTTTGCCATCGTCGGTGGGTCCCCAGGATGCGCTGTAAATATGTATTTTATGCGGTTCATGACCCATCGAATTGGCCTCGATTAAGTCGGTCATGTACGGCTGATCCAGCATGCGTATGCCTACGGAATGTAAAAGTGAAAATGAGTCAAGGATATGCGTGGCAACATATGGCTAGCGATTGCTAAAATCACATACACATATGAAAAGCATATATATGTGTAGATATGTAAGTCAATTAGTGCTTTTAGGAAGCTAAAAGCTGKGACAATTTTTGCGCAGGGTTTTACATTTTAGTGGCCGAACATTTTGCCTTAATCAGATTTAAACTAAAATGCTTTTAAAATTAAAATAAGCTTSAAACCCCCTTGTGGTCTTCAAGCGGCAACATTTCCACATTGCCACTGAAATCACATTACAATGGCGACCTTTCTCGAATTCAAAGTAAAGTTAAATGTTKCTTCTTTCGACTAAAAATGTAACTAATGGCAATAATAAATTCTTTTCTGCATAAAAAAGTAGCTTGCTAAATCTAGTTGCTCACTGACCAAAAGTACTACACCTTTCTCAGTAAAAGCAATGTACAACTATTTAATGGAGCCTCTGTAAGCAGCTCAGTGTTAATTGAGTTTTTTTATAATTAATAATTATAGTTTCAATATTTTAGAATAACAGTCAAAGCCTCTATAGAATATTACCAGCGTCGTGAGCTGAGTCGATTTAGTCATGCCTGTCAGTATATACGCGAACTAGTCCCTCAGATTCACATCTAGATGTGTATAAGAGACAGGTAACGCACCTTGTAAAACTTAACTCACTACTTTAACGAAAGTCATAAGTACCCACGGGCGGACTGTCGTCAAACAATATGCCTTAATGTGGTATTCCACGAATTTRTTGGAAACGTCGGTTCAAGAATCATTTTCCGAATTTAAAGTAATATTTACAGCAATTTAGCAGAGCTCTTTACTAAATGCATACTTAGTAAAATTACCACTTGATTCAGCCTCTACTTACTTTGCCTCGAGTGCCAGCGCAAACACGCCGGCTGCCTCCGGTGCCGCCGCACTCGTGCCAGAATGTGTGGTTGTACATTTGCCGTACAAATCCGTGGTGGCCACGCCAGTATTGGGATCTTTGGCACCATTACTAAATGTGCTGGCCAACGTTGAACTACAACTCTCATCGTAGTGTGCATTCTGTCCATCGTTAATGGCGCTGTTAATGGAAATTGTCCACATAGACGCCGCATAGCCATCGCAATTGCAGTCGTCCTCCTCGCCGCCATCGCCCGATGCCCACACGTAAATGTTGCCCAAACCATTGCGACCCTGTGGGAGAACAACGAATATTACATGTTAACGAAGTTAGGCGGATGCCATATGTTCACAGCACAAGCCCATGCACACACATACATACAAACATATGTGCAGACGTTAAAAGCCACTTGTATAAACATAACGACACATATGTACATACATAAGCACTTAAACGTGAATATGCATGTGTATATATGTATGTATATACGGCGCGTAATATTCGGGATGTTGGTGAATGTAACAAGTTTCACTTAATTCCCCGTATGTTTGTATGTATGTGTGGCATGTGCCAGTGCAGAAATTGATTTAGCTCGCTTGAGTATGCACATATATAGGTTTGCCTTTATGGCCCACCTCCCCTCATTAATTCACTTACCTCGTTCACGCCTTGTACTATGGCTGTCTCTTATACACATCTAGATGTGTATAAGAGACAGCAATGGTAACGGCGAATACCGCAGTCGATGGAACGATGAGGTGTACGAGATATACGACGACATTGACATAGTTCAGCGAATTAGAAGACAGTGGCTACGCTGGCTAAGTTATTTCGTCCGAGTGGAAGAGAACACTCCATCCCTGAGAGTAATCGATGGAATATTTGCCGGGGGAAGCAGAGGAAGAAGAAGAGCTCCACTCAATTGGAAATACCAGGTGGAGAAAAACCTGTCTACACTTTGAAWCTCTAATTAGCGTCAAACAGCGAAAAGGAAGAAGATCTGGTACGCTGTTGTAAATTCGGTTTTATCCAAGTAAATGGTATYTACGCAAATGAGAAAAAGAAGAATTATATAGAAGAAGAATCCGACAAAAATAACAGGCTCACGAGTTAGGTGGAAGTTAATGATTGTCTATCGTTTTGATTTGCATTTGGCATAAAAACATGGTAAAATTCTGAGCAATATTAAAAAACTTGTTTGGTACCAACGTCTGGGGATTTGGTTCTTAAACCGACTAAATAAGAATTTTGAAGAAGCATTTGCTGCTTTTTGTACACTCAAGTCAAGAACAGAACTAACCGCCAAAAAGAACGATTGACAAATTGAACATAATTAGTTTCAAACAAAAGGCGAAGTTTCATTACCCTCCAAGACGGTCGCATGAGCCGCAGGAGCATCTATAAGGTGCGTTCCAAAGTAAAGAGG